ACCCCTTAGTGGTCTTTTGCTGACATCAGGACTAAAATGACGAGGCTTTAAGGATTTGTTTATAGATAAGAGATGGGACACGGGAAGAGATCATTGGATGTATTTTAAGAGAAGGTGATAAGCACTAAAATTGTTTATACTTGTGATGAAGGGGAAGTCATTTCTTTATATATTTTTTTCTTTACTATATTCTTATTTTTTCTTTCTTGTCTATTTTTCTATATTCTTTTTCTGCACCTTCTATTTTTTCTTTTTATTCTTTTTTTGTTTGTTTGTATTAGTTTTTATTGTTGTAATTGTAATTTTTAATAAAATTACTATAAAGAAGTTATCTGCCATGGTAATCTTCATGGACTCCCAGCTGTTTATAGCAATAAAAGATAACTAAAACATTAACTCTGAAATCAAGTCCATGATATTATAATACAAAAACACAGTGCCCACTCATTATCCCCCAAATGCCCTCCAGAATAGCTCAGTTCTTCTTAATTTCTGGAGGACCATTACAGTATGTGCTAATCTGACTTCAGGAAGGTAACTTAGGAGTTGCAACAGAGAAATTGCCTGTAAGATCCTGCCCTCTTCACCTTTTAGTAATGGGTGACCATAAAAAGGGTTTTTTGGAGGGTGGGGGTGGGAACACACACCAGAGAGGTCAATTCTACATAGAGAAGTTTGCCCCAAAAAGGTAACAGAGAAAACACCTCCATCCAATGCTTATTGGTGCCTATTTGATAGTGAACAACAACAAAATCCTTGGCTTCAATTAAAATGACATGAATTTTAAACAAAAATAAAATAAAGGTTTTTGGTGGAAAATTTGAATAGGCCTTCCAACTTGGAAATTATTACTCAATGAGCCTGTGTTCAAAACCCTACACTTGTGTAGAAAAAAAAAAAGAATATATTCACTGGTTCTATCACACACCAGTTTGTGTTGTTAGCAAATAGCCATCAATGGTTCATGTTCAGTTATTTCCCAACTGGTATGGTTAATTTAAGGCTTAGCATGTTATCTCAACTTACCAGAGAACAGACTGGTTTTCACTAGGCTTGTTTGTGGCTATTTTTCTGAAGCAGAATGCAGCATGTTTTCTAATTTCAAATCACACGCTAAGTCCTAAACTAATCAGCAATGATTGTTTCCTACCACATATAAAATGGCTACACATAAACCTACATGAGGGTGATGTTTAAATTAACCCTTTTTATTGTAATCAAAAATCTTGAAGGAAAATTATAGGAGTTGTGTTTTATTACATGATACAAAACCCAAATAGCTTTTGTATCATAAGATACAAGCTCATGCTGTTCAACGTAAAATAGCATAACCAGCGAGCCAGTTTGTTGCAGTGGTGAAGGCACCGGGCTAGAGACTGGGAGACCGAGAGTCCTAGTGCTGCCTTAGGCAAGGAGCCATCTGGGTGACCTTGGGCCAGTCACTCTCTCTCAGCCCTACGAAGGAGGCAAGGGCAAACTATTTCCAAAAACGCACTGCAGGGACTAGTCCAGGCAGTTACCAAGAGTCAAGACAGACTCAAAGGCACATCAAAAAAAAAAAAAAAATCAGGAAGGAATAAAATAATTCTGTGTATTTCATATGACTATATTCTGGATAATGCACAATAGAGTAAATGTTGAATAAATATTCAATACTGAATATTAAATAAAGACAAAATAAGGACTTTCAAAGCAGCCAGAAAAATTACTGGTATCTAATTTACATTTCTAACACTAGGGGCCTATACAAAATGGTTTTCAGCATTTACTTCACATTGAAAGAGGCTATGGCGCATCCTCTCCTCAAGAAGACGTTATTGGACCCAAAGGTCCTGGACAATTATCATTCAGTCTCCAACCTTCACTTGGTGAAGAGGGTGGTTGGGCTTCAGTTCCAGAGGAGCCTGGAGGAAGCAGATTATTTGGACCTGTTTCAGAGTGGGCTTTAGTACAGAGCCTGTATTGGTTGTGCTTGTGGATGACTTGCGGCGGAGCCCCAATGGAAGTGGTGTGTCCATCCTTTTGCTCCTTGATCTCTTAGCAGCTTTCAGTGCTGTCTTCCACAGTTTCTCTTTGGACCAGTTTCAGAGGTTTGGGGGGGGGAGGCACTTTTATGGTGGTTCTCCTCCTTTCTCTGTGGCCAATTTTAATTGGTGTTGACAGGTGGGAAGAGATCCCACCCACGGCCTCTCCCTTGTCGGAAGCTGCAGGGTTCGACACTCTCTCCCCTTCTATTTAACATCTACAAGAAACTGCTGGGTGAGGTCATCTGCCAGTATGGTGTATTGATGATACCCAATTACACATCTCGACCCCAGGCTGTCAAAGTCCTGACCCAGTGCCCCGAGGCTGTACAGGCCAGGATGGGGAGGAATGGATTCAGGCTCAAACCTGATAAGACCAAGGGGCTTAATTTGTTTGACCTGCCTGGTTCCAGGGAGTTTCCCTTTACTCTATAATGGGGTCGTACTTCCACATGTGAGAATAGTGCGCAATCTGGCAATGGGGGGGGGTCTTCTTGGACTTTCACCTTCTGCTTGTAAAGCAGGTGGAAGCTGTTGCCAAGAGGGCCTTTGCATAGGTACAGGTAACGCTCCAGTTGTGCCTTTTCCTGGGCCAGGAACACCCGCAGACAGTCACACGTGCCTAGTCACCTCATAATTGGATTATTGCAATGCACTCTACATGGGGTACCCTTGAAGACCATCTCGAAACTACAGCTGATCCAGAATGTAGTGGCAGTAATAGGGCACCGTGTTATGTGAGTGTGACCCCGCTGGTTTGTGAGCTGCACTGGTTGCAAGATGACTTCCAGATGCAATTCAAGATGTTGGGTATCGCCTTTAAAGCCCTTCATGGCATGGGCCCTGGCTATCTGAGGGGCCACTTATCTCCTGGTATCTCTGCCATCCAGTTCAGTCTAGCATGATGGTTGTACTCCAAGTCCTGTCAATTAAAGAATACCATCTTGTGGGACCCAAAAGCCTATTCTATTGTAATTCCTGCCCTCTGGAATGTTCCCCCCCCCAAAAAAAAAGATTTGTGTCATCCTTATGTTGTTCAGGAAATTATTGAAGACCTGGTTGTTCTCCCAGGCCTTGGGGATAGGATGACTGTAGAAACCCCTCCCCCTCCACTTTTTTTTTGTTTTATTTTATTTTGGTATGATTTGTTTTGTTTCTTTTTGTATTTTGCTATTCTGGTCGGTTGTATTTTTTTTATATGTTCAGGGGGGTTGTTTTGTTTTAGTTGTAAGCAGCTCAGAGTTGTTTAGGAGTTGGCCAACCTGATTGATTGATTGATTGATTGATTGATTGTTAGATAGATAGATAGATAGATAGATAGATAGATAGATAGATAGATAGAAAGAAAGAAAGAAAGAAAGAAAGAAAGAAAGAAAGAAA